TGACTATTACACTTGTCAATGATACAGGTCTATAATTAAGGGGGTCTTCCCTGTTTCCACTTTTGTAGATTGGAACTATGTTAGCCTTTTTCCACACATCAGCTACAACTCCTGTACACAGAGATGCCTGAAAAATCAGTTGAAGTGGAATGCTGAGCTCAGGTGCACACTCTCTCAGAACCCATGGTGAAACTCCATCTGGACCAACTGCTTTGTTCTTACTTAGCTCCCTGAGCATTTTTTCCACTTCGTCTCTAGACACCTCTATGTGCTCTATGTTGTTCCCTGGAATTCTTATTGTGTCTGGTTCCCTAAAGATTTCATTTTGAACAAACACACTTTGGAACTTTTCGTTTAGTGTTTCACACATTTCCTTTTCATTTTCTGTGAATCTATTTCCCATTTTCAACCTCTAACTCTACTTTACTCTAACTCTACTCTAACTGTGGGACTCTACTTGTGACATCTTGTTATAAAGACCGACTAGTATGCAATACTGTAGTTCCGCAATATGGGGATGTACACAATACTGATGCCAGAACTAAACTTCACCTGCACAGTTTTTTATCAATTTCCAAAAAATAAAAAATAAAAAATTAATGCACTGGAAAAAAAAATTCAAGATTTTGAAAAAACTTTAACAATGAAGCAGTGACACTGCGGTAACATTGTGCTCTCCGACATTACACACACATTAAAATGTGAAAAGAAAACATGACACATAACAGTAATGAGTGTGTTAAGAGCCATTTATCTACGTTATTTAAGTTTATTTCAAAGATATGCCACTTATCATAGCGGCTATAGTTTAATGTGATTGTTAAATCAAGTAAATCCCCCACCAAACTTTAATAGGATGCGTGAGAATGCAAGCAAACTCTAAAGCTGTTTGTTAATAAAGATTCAGGTTTACTCATCTTAACATTTAGTATTCACAGAGACAGAGATGGTAATACAAATTCATGTACCGGGTACAGAGCACCACTTTGTTTCCAAACTTTAGTTATGCGAAACTTCCAGTTTCCTGACTGGGGTTGGGGAGTTATGCTACACGAACTAAGTTCGGGTAGGAAGCAGTCCACCAAGCCTCACGCCAGCCGGGGTGGGAGTTACCCTACACGAACCAAGTTCGGGTGAGGAAGTGGCCAGACAAGCGTCACGCTGGCCTGTGGTGGTGGGTAGGTGGGTGGTTAGATGGTTTAGTTTGCCCACTGACCATGTCGGGTGCCACCTCTCTGGTGCCTGCTACTCTGTGATGTCACAGATTCACTGTCTATTGTTCCCATTGTTTTGATTTTTGTCACGAGGCTGGAGTGTTCATTCCGTGACTTTGTTGGATATATCTATACAATCAAGGAATATCCGTGCACCATGTTGGCTCCAAATGCATGCATTGTGTCAGTGAAAGCATCAACAAGTGGGATACATAAAAGAAAGAGGTCAATGATGACATTTGAGAAGAAAGTTGAAAAAATTAAGATGGAGTGCGGTGTCCCGAGAAGTGTCGTGTGTGCTGGATACGGCATTAGCAAAAGTTGTTTTTGATCTTCTTGAATTATAGGCTAAACCTATCATTTTTTACTATTTCCCTAAAAGTGAAAGTTGTAAGGCAATACGAAATAGAAAGGTAGTAAGTAAAGTAAAGGTAGAGAGTGTTGATAACGCAGTGTGGGAGTGGTACAAACAGAAGCGTGAGGTGACGAAGAAGCCAGTGGCAGATGATGTCACAAACAAATGTCAAAGTCTTTTGCAATGGCTTCCAAGAAAGCTCGCATTGCATCACCTGCACCCGACTCATCACATGTTGACCCAGTCAACCCAACAACTTCAGTCAACCCAACACCAACATCCACCACCACTTCTTCCATGTAAATAACTATGCTTCATCAACATCGATCATCAAGATAAGCGAATCAGGACTTCACTTATTGGCGAGTACAAACAAAATACGGTCGCATTTACGCTATGAACCTGTCAATTTTTTTCCTCTAAGAGTTTATTCGTAAAATTTGATCTTTTTTTTTTTACATTTCTAATTTGTTTTTTCCCTCCATATCTTATTTACGAACTTACATGAGAATCGACGGGTCTCGTCCCCAAGGGGCTCGGAAACCAAGTGATGCTCTGTATGTGTGAAAATTTACAAGTTCAATGTGATTAATTTCTTGAAAAATTCAGTACCCTAAGATCTAGAGCAAAGATTGAAGGAAATGTCCACTTTGGCACAGTTAACACTTTCGCATTCCCGCGAAACAGTCTGTGTCTGAAATTGTTCTCACAGACGTATGCCGGGGAAGTAGGTTGCGTCCCAAATTAAAATATTTGTTAAAATTCCAATTTTTTTCCGATTATTCTGGGACTGGGTTTAAAATGAGTACCTTTAGATTGCACACAATTTGATACCATAATGAACGTAGCACGACAATTGAGATCACAACACTGGAACGATTATGAATACCCTTGTGGTGATGAGCATCAAAAATGAAAATATTTGTTAAAATTCCATTGATTGTCCGATTATTATGGGTCGTTTTAAAATGCGCACCTTTAGATTGTGAACAATCCGATATCAAAATGAACGACATAGATCGAAAATTGATGTTATCAAACTGAAATGAGTATACACAGTAGGTTGCTTTCCCTCCAGTACTGTGTGTTGTTATTTTACGGTGATAATTGGAGCCCAGGCCTTCCAGTATCTTCCATGTATATATTATGAAATCAACCTCTTCTCCTACAGAGAATGTTGCATTTCGCTCGTATGCGTTACATAAGGCCAAAAATTGTCAAACTAGAAAATGGAAGCGGCTCGCGAAAGTGATGTACTGTCTCGTTACTGTCTTGGGTCCTCTGGTGGGTTAGAAGAGAACACTTTAAATTGACCATTTCTTGACGTTGGGAACCTCAGGAGGACGGCTTATAAGATACCCCTCTTGTCTCTATCTAGAAAATACATTTTGAAAGCTTTAAGATGGTCTACCCTACCTTGTGGCAATTCTGATGATCAATGTCCTCACAGAGCAGTCTTTGACCAGGCTGTTGACATATGAATCACAGCCTGGATGATCAGGCTCAAGTTCTCTCTTGAACACTGAGAGAGGCCAGCCAGTTATGCCCCTTACGTGTAACAGGAGGGGGATTGAAAAGTCTTTGACCTTTGATGTTGATAGAGTTCTCTCAAGCTTACATTGAATAACTCCACTGAAATGATGATAAATAGCTCAACTGAAATGCACTTCTGCATTTCAATGGGGTTTATTTTACACATCCTGCCATGCCTAGTGGCTTCATGTGATGTTATTTCCATGTAACCATTATTTCCATTTGGACCATTCCCTCTAACCTTGGAGCCAGGTTCTAATAGATTAGGTACAATGCTTTATCGTGTCAATGCACACGATATATGTTCAATGTATTCCGTCTATTTCAGAAATCTCTCCTGCTATGAAAGGGGAAGGGAGCACCAAGTCATTCTCAGGCTGGAAACCACTAGTGATTTGCAAGGTAGCAGCACTGTAGTGGCATCCATGGATTTGAAGGTTCTCATAATCCATCCTATCATTTTCCTGGCTGGTGCTATATTCACTTTATTATGCTCACTAAACGTTAGGTCAATTAATATCATCATTACCAGATCCATTACACGTTTGAATATTTCAATTCTATGAGTAACTGTGATTGTGTCTTGTATCCTATTGTATATGTGTTTTCATATTTACCATAACTATGAACCTGGATTACTGTTAAAATATCATGTTATTTTCAATTGCTCAATTATAAGCTTCAATGATATCGGCTTGTAGTTTTTTAACATCTACAAAACCAACATTCACGCCGATTTTTTAATTATTCATAAAGGATGATACGAAGATGTGGCTTGTATTTTGGTCTATATTTGACATAAGAATGAGAAGAATCAGTGGTGCCAGGACAGTGCCCTGGGATACAGAGCTCTTCACTGTGCTTGGACTTTGTTATTTTTGGCAGTGTGTTTGATAGGAAATTGAATATCCATTGCCCAACTTTACGCGTTATTCGTATTGATCTCACTATATCACCTCATGGTCATATTAATCAAATGCTTTTGCACAATGTGAATAAAACGTCTACATTTTGTTTTTCCTTCTAATGCTTCCATGATTTTGTTATAGTGATTATAGTGAGATATAGTGAGTAATTACAAAAGGCAGGATCTTTCCACTCTAAATTCATGTCGATCTGGGTTGTGAAGTTTACTGTTCTCCATAAAGGTAGAGAGATTTCATCCCCTGATCACCATTTCAAAAACTATAATTGTGTGTGATCTTAATGCAACCGGAGCATAATTTTAGCCAATGCCTTGCCACCTACCTTGTGTAGTGGAGCTATATCTGCTGATTTAAGTGCTTCTGGTATCTCACCTATAACCAAGATTATACAAGCTCCACATTACATACCTGGTTGATTGATTACACTGCCCAACACTTGGGCTAGACGGTAGAGCAATGGTCTCGCTTCATGCAGGTTGGCATTCAATCCCCGACCGTCCAAGTGGTTGGACACCATTCCTTTTCCCCCGTCCCATCCCAAATCCTTATCCTGACCCCTTCCCAGTGCTATACAGCAATAATGGCTTGGCACTTTTCCCCTGATAATTCCCTCCCTTCACATTACAATGAGCCCTCTTGTTACTGGTACTTTGAATTTCTATATAAATATGGAATTCCAAGAGTACGTGCACGGGCACGCACTGTATATCAGTTATATTATCGATATACAGTATATCAACCAGGTCGCCTGGTTGACCAGACGACCAACCAGGAGGCCTGGTCGGAGACTGGGGCCTTGGGGCAGTTGATCCCCAGAAGCCACAACGTACTGTCAAAGTTTTTGTTTTTGTAAAACAAAAAAGTCTTAGTTTTGTAAAAGTGTGCTGATTTCCCTCTCAGGATTGTTACCTACAGCTTTTGTATTAAAAATGGCTTACATATATAACCAAAACTCACACCAAGGAAACTTACAAATTTGAGCATATTCCAGTCAAACACATAGTCATAGGTAAAGCCCTGACGATGGAAGAGCTGGCGGAAGAGCTGCCTCAGGTAACTGTAGTCTGGTTTCTCCTCAAACCTCAGAGACCGGCAGAAATTCAGGTACGTTGCGAACTCATCTGTAAAATTATTTATAAACAATAAGTTATGGAAAAGAGAACATGAAATTTTAACAATAGAGTAGAGTAGTGGTATAAAACATTCAGTGGACCACAGCTGCGTCGCCAAGTGCTAGAGAAGGCTTATATTAAAGACGGCTAAATGTTGACGACGGTTGAACTTAACCACGTACTTTGAGAATCAAAATAAGTTTCAAAAATCAAAGAGAATAAAAATATTATTAGAAATAATAAAAAAAAAATTAACAAAGAGCACAGCCTGGATACAACAATGTTTTTAGTTGCAGAATGGTCCAGTATAAATCAGTCCGTCTGTGCAGACTATCATTATTCCTGCAATACTGTACTTGCTGCACCAAAAACGTATATACTGAAATAGGTTGCGGTGTCTTCTGAAATGCTTTTTGTTTTATTTTGAATTCGTCTTCTTGAGGGTATCCCGAGATGATTTCGGGGCTGAGCGTTCCCGCGGTCCGGTCTCGACCAGGCCTCCTTTTTGTTACACCCCACCCAGGAAGCAGCCCGTAGCAACTGTCTAACTCCCAGGTACCTATTTACTGCTAGGAAACAGTAGCTGTAGCATGAATACGGCTACCGTTTCATGAATAAAAGTAAGGCAAATCGTGACTTAAATTAAGTGTTATCATTCATACCAAAGTATTTCCCATGTTCTATGGGGCTCATTTCACTAAGGAAATCATTAATTTTAACCTCTGATATGATGGCCAACTTTTTTGAATGCTGGATGTGCCACCTGGAGGCACCACCAGCTGCCACCTGGAGGTGGCAGCCGGCAGTTGGAGATAACATTACCTCAGTAACCATCATTAGCGACCCGTAAGGCTCTGCCATGGACTGTTCTTGGGCATGGCCATCAAAACAAATCTTTATTCTATAATTTTAGCAAATTCTCTCTATTACAAAACTATTATAAAAATACAAAGTATCTAATTTAAAAAAAGACTGCAGGAAAAGCATTAAATGAGTAAGTAGTGTCAACTTACTAGGAAATCCTTTACAGAGCTCCTCAATAGGAGTCTGCATCTTCTTTTCACTGATTCTCTCATATTTTTGCCTTTTAGTAGCAGCTTTGAGCCCTTGCCAAGGAAGAGATCCTCTGTTGAAGTACATCAACACATACCCTAAACTCTCCAAGTCATCCCTTCTGCTTTGCTCTGAAGAAATAAGAAAAAACATTGTCTTTTGTAAACATTAATCCAAATATCTTGTATATTATAATAAAACATGATGATACTCAGCTTCACACACTAATAAAACTATGAACAACATTTACTATATTTCATTTTGTATTTATATATACAAGAGTTCTTACATTCTTGTAAAGCCACACCTCGCACAGCAGTTTGGGCAGGTCCTTAATCCTAATTTTCCCCGGAATACGACCTGCCAAATCGTTTAACAACCATGTACCCATTCACTTGCTGAGTGAACAGAGGCTACAGTTAAGGATTGGCACCCAGTCAATCCTGCCCAGCCAGGATATAAACCCAGGCCAAAGCGCTCGCGACACACCGGGCGAGTGCTTTATTACTGCGCCACAGGAACTATAAATTATATTCACCTCTAACTTTCCACTTCTGTATTGAAACTGCCAGTGGAGGAACTTAACAGTTCCACAGCACCAGAACATTTCAGTCCAAACACGTATCAATTCAAACTTCATATTACATTTGGGTGAATTATATTAATGTTTGTACTTCAATGACTTTGCAATGTGAGCATGAAATATCTAGATTATAATGTCCTGTTTGTGAAAAAATCAAGCTCAATTATAATTTGTAAAAAGAAATACGATCCGTTTCATTTCATTTACAACTACCCATAGATACATAATTTCCATGTATCACAAGAGTTTGTGGCAAATAAAATTGAAGACGTCATCAATAGGACCACCACTAAAAGTCATAAACGTCACTATCTCCAGCATTAATGGATGGATTTACAGTCTCATCTCAAAGAGAGGTCTAAAAAGTTGTCCTTGCAACATGTACTCCGGTCAATAACTACCGAGATAGTTACTTTCACACATAAAATAGAAATTAATTGTATATAATGATATTAATTCCATATTCATTATTACAAATAAATGACTACCACAGGTCCTAAACATGAAGGAAGGAAAAAGAATTATCAGGGGAAAGCACCAGGCCGTTATGACTATATAGCACTTGGAGGGGGGTCAGGATAAAGATTTGGGATGGTACAAGGAGGGAAGGAACAGAGCCCCATCCACTCTGACTGTCGGGAATTGAACGCGGACCTCCATGTAAACAAAGGAGACAGAGCCTAGATATTCATGCTATTCTAAACTTAAAACAAGAGAGATTGCATCACTCCACAACGAGGGGCAGCAAAGCATAACTAAAAACTTACAGACCTATACAACAAACTTCACACACACACAGTCACCATGTCAATACAACCCTAGACAACATGGGTTCCAGGTTGCAATTCTTTTGACTATGTCGTGGCCTAGTTGACTAGGGCATGTGCGTGGGGAACACCCACCGCATAGGTTTGAATCCTCATCACGACTCCTACGGATTTTTTCATGGGTTTAGAGCATGATGCTCCTGGCTCTCACAACTGCAATGATATGGTCTTCAATGCTATGGAAGATAAGCAAAATGCTGGTGAAATATAAAGACTTTGCAGAAGCTTTCAACAAATGTAGCCATAATATTAGAGAACACAATATGTGCAAGAACAGAATTACAGTACTGTACTGGCAAAGTAGGAAGATGGATCGTATAATTTCCTGTCAAACATAACACAAAGAGGAAAGGCAAAGCTCAGTCCCCCAGGATACTTTACATACTTGTTCAGCACTCTCATTCTCATATCGAAAATAAATAATGCCTTAGACAAATGTAAGTCAATGCTTATTGAAGAGTACCACAAAACATTACTGTAGAAATAATAAACATAGCCTAAACAGCAGATTTATATTTGTTCAAGAAACTGTACTGCAATTTACTAAGCCAGAAAACACCGAACATATCAATAATGTTTGTAAATAAAATATTGAGGAACTAGTAATAACAAGACTATGGAGCTGTACTTGAGGCTAGTACAACATGTATCATATCACTTGCATCAAAAATAATCTTCCTCCAGTTGCACTTGTGTACAGAAGTACTGCATGAGCAAAGGTTTATATCATTTCTGCTAACAAAAGTGATGTTTACACTTTGTACTCAAAATTAATAATAATACCCAATTATTTCAACAATACACCAGAAAAATATCCAACAGAAATAGTCCCAATTAATTCAGTAAAAGGAGGATGCCACAATACTATTTAATAAACATTTCCATAAACTAGTCACCTCCACTAAAAATTATCAGATCATTATTGCTCACACTACAATAAGTTGGGAAAAAATGCCACTAGTAAGTGATAGGGAGTACTTACCGATGCCAAGATGAGTATTAACCGAAGCATAACGCGCAGTACCGGTTAGATTTTTGTTTTCCCGATATGGTATATGTTGATGTGTGCGCGAGTCTCTGTACTTTTTGGCTAGACCGAAGTCTATGATATACACAAGATTTCCCTTTTTTCCCAAGCCCATGAGGAAGTTGTCTGGCTTAATGTCTCGGTGGATGAAATTCTTGCTATGGATATATTCTATCCTGGTTATCTGTAAAGATAAAATATGCACTCAAATCAGTCATGTGCAAATAATAAGAAAACTAAATCTTTAGTGAATCTGTCTGAAATTTAAATTTTAATTGGCGATATTGTAATGCAAACAAATTAAATATCTATATAAGACAGGGTATCTGTGTGCACGTCTGTCGGTTCTAAATTAAGAGGCCAAAACACTTGGGGGGTTAGATTCAGCAAACTTTTGAAGATAACTGGTGGTTGTTCAGAGATGACCATGAGGGGGGGTCAGGGGTCAACCCCTCATGAACCCCCTTTGCAAACGATACCAATTTCCAATCTCGTTCAATCCCATTTTAAGTACAGTGGAACCTCGAATAACGAATTTAATCCATTCCAGCACCGAGCTCGTTATGTGAAACGCTAGTCTTTCAAAACGAATTTCCCCATTTAAAATAATGGAAATCAAATTAATCCGTTTTACCACCGAAAAACCTCAATATGATATTCGATGTTTTAAATAATGTAGCAGCCTACCTTACATACACTGAACAAACCTTAATGACATTTCTCTTTCTTAAAATTTGTTCCTTTCAATTTTTTTCCGTTTTTTGTACTGTATAGCAAAAGGTTCAGTCGGTGTTTGTCGGGTAGACTGTTCCATTATGACAACCTTTTTTGTTTCAAATGTGTTCCATTTGTTTTGTATTTTTCATTTATTTCTCAATAATGGAGCAGCCTACCTGACAAACACTGAACGAACCTACATGGCACTTGTCCGTTTTTCAAATTGTTTCAACTGGTTTTTTTTATTTTTATTTTTATTTTTTTTAAGAAACATGGAGCTGCCTACCTGCCGAACACCAAACGAACCTTTTTGACATTTGTTCTTTTTTTTTTTTTTAATATAATTTCTTTTTTCTACAAAAAAGTCGATGCATTGCAACATCACAGCAGTCACCCCTTTAAATCCCAGCATCATTAGCATCTTTGAACAGAAAAAAGACAATTTATTTGCATTGTTGGAGGTGTCCAAGAATGTGCGAGAAGCAGTGCGACGCCACCATATGGTGGTGGTGTTATTCAAACGAGCGCTCGCCAAACGAGTCGAATTGTTGGTGATCGGAGCGCTCGTTACCCAAATTGCTCGCCAATTGAGGCGCTCGTCACTCGAGGTTCTACTGTATTTCATCCTAAGATTCATCCACCATATTATTTTCTAGATAATGATTAAGTGTTAATTTGTCTCATTTTATTTATTAAGTTGACAGTTTGTAATGAAGGAGATGAAAGACAGTGATGATGCTTGAAAATGGGAGCATCCCGTGGTACCTGGATAGTGAAAATGGTTATTTAAAGGGTTATAGTGATGAATTGTCACTTGCCCTCATTCTCCTCCCACAATACTGTTTTTGCATTTATTCACTATACACAGAAGTTACATACAAGTATTTACATGTTTTGTTCACCATAACTGTACATCTAAGCTTGCATGGTGAGTAAAGACACGAAGACGTAGCTGCTCACACAGTCAGCTGGTGGCGGCCGCCCTCAAGGCCAGACGCACTAATATTTCTCCAACAATATTGTTTGTGGTGTTATTACGCTATACACACACATTATATATAAGTATCTACCCGTTTTATTCACCATACCTGTTCAAATAAGCTGGTATGGTGCCCAAAGACCATAGTGGCCACCAGTAAACAACATAAGTCGTGCAGACGATGCACCTCCCTCACCAAAATGGCGGCTCCCAGCCTACTTCTATTGCTGTTATCACACACTATACACACGTTATATATAAGTATCTACATTTGTGTTCACCATAGCGAACCACTAAGCTGGTATGGTGAGTGCAGTCAATAAAAGGTGGCCACACACAGTCAGAAGACAACGCCACCACCCTCCCTCCCACAGCATTACTGCTCCCTCCATGGAACACAGCGCTAAATATCACCACAATCCTGCTATCATCAGAATCCTGGTCAGTTTTTATCATAGTCAGGGGGTCTTCTATAATACTATCATCGCTAACTAATAGCATGATCATATATATTATGGCATTTGTAGGCAATGCTGTGGTCAAAAGCTGAACAGCAGTGCTATAAGCTCGTGCTGCGTGCGCCAGCCTTGGTGGCTTGCTCAATACTGACGCTCTCACACCCAAGAATGTTGGCCTGGATTTTTTTCTAGGTGGCATCTGGCAACTATCGGTCGTGGCTGCACTATAGCTGCCTCTATCCCAGGCGGGGCGTTTAAATTATAGCACTAGACACGAAATCAAATATATACGACATGTGCGGTTTCAATTTTGCCACGGAAAGCATATATATATGATTTGCGCGGTTTAAGGGTTAAAGAACACAAAGTAGCCGTCACAACTGCAAGAAAAATGACAGGTTGGATAACAAGAACCTTTCACACTAGATATGCTTTAACAATGAGGATACTCTTCTAGATGCTAGTGCTCACTCGAGTGGAATTCTGTTGCACAATGACAGCCCTTTTCAAAGCTGGAGAAATTGCTGACCTGGAGAACATGCGGGGGATCTTTACTGCTAGAATCAACCCAGTAAAACATCTAAGCTATTGGGACTGACTAAAGAGCCTAAATCTGTATTCTCTTGAGCGCAGACAGGAGAGATACATAATTTGAGACACAAAGAGGCAATATGATCACTACGTACAAAATTGTAACAGTAATCAATAAAAATGATAGGAAAGAATTCCTGAGACCTGGAACATCAAGAACAAGAGGTTATAGATTTAAACTCACTAAACAAAGATGCTGAAGAAATAAGAAAATTCACCGCAAACTAGTAGACGGTGGAACAAGATAGGTGAGAAGGTGGTGGAGGCCAAAACCGTCGGTAATTTCAAAGTGTTATATGACAGTGCTGGGAAGACGGGACACCACGAGCATAGCTCTCATCTTGTAACTACAGTACACTTAGGCAATTACACTATAAATCAAAAATATAATTTAAAACAGAAACTTGAGTTTAACTTGTTGCAAATTGTCTTCTTGTTTGATACTGTTCATCTTTATATGCATAGTTCTTCAAAATTTACATAACCTAATCACAGGTTATCCAGATTTCTATCCAGATATGAATATTTTTTACCAGAAAATTATCCGGATACTGTACAATTTTGGCTGGATAAGCTAAATATTCGGTTCAGTGGGCTTCAGATAGCTGAGCTCATACAATGTATTAAGCTTTAATACCTTCTTTTGATACACATTTGGTATTTCATAAAAAAAATCACAAAATATTATTCTAGACATGTGGAAAACGTTCTTATTTCGTTTAATGATTTTTTGGGAGATTTTGAGCAGTTTTAGTGTACAAGTGCTGTATTATTTATTTTTGTTTTTTCAATATACTGTACTGGTATGCAATTCAACTTGACAAATGCCAATTAACATTTGAAAGGTACAGTATTTAGAAATTTGTGAATGTGCTTTACGAGTGATTTTAAAGTGACAATCATTGTAATGAACAGGCACATGCACAGCTTGATCCCTGCTGTGGTAATGCTGATGGCTAGCCTCCCATGTCTAAGCATAGACCTATCCTTATGCTAGGCATTCGTCCTTGGCTTAGGGAGCAACTAAGGCATACCTCAGAAAAATAATTAATTTTTCTTTAGAATTTTTGTTTGTACTCCATAGTTCACAACGGGTGCACCTGGACTCCCTTAATTATCTGGACACCTAATCAGGCTCGTCTAGGTACTGTTCATGTGATCACATTATCATTATTATACATCATTATACATCAAGTCCATCCCAACATTCAGAGAAACGAGTTTGGATAAATCAAGACATGAAATTTTTTAAACATGTCTTATTCTGAACTAAATTTTAATTAAACACAGTTATAGGAGCAAATTACTTACAAGTTGATCTGCCAAAAGAAGAACTGTCTTAAGAGAAAATTTTCTAGAACAAAAATTGAAGAGGTCTTCTAAAGAGGGCCCCAATAACTCCATAACCATAACATTGTAGTCGCCTTCCGACCCACACCACTTAATTCCTGGAATACCTACACCACCAGCCATCATCTGCAATAATAGGAAAAGTAACAATTAATAACAATTCTCAAATGCCCAGCTTTATTAAGATTGGACGATATCGACATTCGCCTAAAAAACTTTTACTTAGCTCATTGAATAAAGTATTTTACGGTTAAAAATGTCAGTGAAGTACAGTACTGTATGTTCCAAAATCATCTCAAGGCACTTATTACTTTGATTTTTCTATTGTAGAGTTTTTGAGGCTTATTGCCCCTGGTTGATACCTGGTTGATGGGGTTCTGGGAGTTTTTCTACTCCCCAAGTCCGCCCCGAGGCCAGGCTCGACTTGTGAGAGTTTGGTCCACCAGGCTGTTGCTTGCAGCGGCCCGCAGGCACACATACCCATCACAGCCCGGTTTTGCCGGAGTGCCGTCCTACTCTCCTATAGCACTCCTTGGAGCGCCCCAGTGGTCTAGTAGGCAAGGCCTTCTGACTGACAAATATCAGCTCTTAGTTGTAGTGTAGGCTCCACAGCCAAGATGGTCCAGGAAGGCATGGAGGAATGTGTCGAGTCCCCATACTGTATTAACAGAGTAACCATCCCTGTTTTTATTTATTTTGCTTTGTTCTCATTCAATTTAATGCTGCTTAATATAAACAAAAATGAAATTAGTATGCAAATGTACGTCTCAGAGTATACTTGGAGAGGGTTCTGGGAGTTCTTTTACTTCTCAAACCCAGCCAAGTCCAACTTGTGATAACGTGCTCCACCAGGCTGTTCATTGGACAGCCCACAGGACCACATATCCACTACAACCCATTTGAGCTGGCACTTCTTGCAGGAACTTATCCAATTCCTTCTTGAAGACATCCACCATTGTTCCAGGAATATTTCTTGCTTGCTGCCAGAGACCTGAACAGTCACAAACACTGCTCATAGAGTGCTCTGATTTGCCAATGCCACCTCTACTCCTCACTGGTTCTATTCTGTATTTTCCTTATGAATCTCTCTAGAATGTTATATTAGTGTGCAAATTTGGGACCTGGCCTTGCAGCATCTTCCAAGCGTATATTATTTGATACCTCTCTCGAGATCTCCTTTCCAGAGAATACATTTTGAGAGCTTTCAGACAGTCCCAATAATTTAGGTGGTGGGTTACGAGTTTGACGTGGTTGGCGGTTGCTTGCGCACAGAGGTCGCAACCCGTGGTTGACGGCTGCTTGCGTACAAAGATCACAACCTGTGGCTGACCTTTTATGTACCCGTTGGGTGTGCACTCAGCCTGGTGAAATCCGAATCACCCGTTTCCTTCATACAAAAAGTGCTCTGCTGCTCTGTTCCATTTAAATCAAGATTGGACAGCACCAGTGATTTAAACAGCACTGTATTGACATTGTAGTGGGACCTCTGTTGTTTATAATACATGTAAATGATTTAGATTCAGGTATGGGTAGCAACATTTGCAAATTTGCCGATGATACAAAAATCGGTATGGGAAATAAACACGGAAGACGACTCGCTGTCACTTCAAGTCGATCTAAATAGGGTTTTGAAATGGTCAAAAGATTGGCAGATGCAGTTTAATACTGACAAATGTAAAGTTTTGAGGCTAGGTAATGATAGTTACAAGATACGAGCTGGATGGTGTTGAGCTTGTGAAGTCGGATTGCAAAAGGGATCTGGGAGTTATGATTAGTAAGAATTTAAAACCAAAGGATCAATGCATGAATGTTCGTAATAAAGCAAATAGGACACTGGGATTTATTAATCGAAGCATTAGTAACAAGACACCTGGTGGTGTTCTTCAGCTATATCTTGCTCTGGTTAGGCCCCATTTAGATTATGCAGTTCAGGTTTGGTCGCCGTACTATAGAATGGATATAAATTCACTTGAACATGTCCAGTGTAGAATGACAAAGTTAATTCCCCAAATTAGAAACCTGTCATATGAAGAGAAAGATTAACAAAGCTTAAATTGCATTCAATGGAAAGGCGAAGAGTTAGGGGTGACATGATAGAGGTTTACAAGTGGATGAATGGATATAACAAAGGGGATATTAATAGGGTATTAAAAGTATCAACACAAGACAGAACACAAAATAATGGGTATAAATTGGATAAGTTTAGATTTAGGAAAGACTTGGGTAAATACTGATTCGGTAACAGGGTGATCCTGGTTGAACTGGCCTGGTTGATCAGTCCGGCAACCAGGAGGCCTGGTCGACGACCGGGCCGCGGGGACGCTAAGCCCCGGAAGAACCTCAAGGTAAGGGTTGTTGCTTTGTGGAACCAATTACCACGTAACGTGGTGGGGTCCCTCGATTGTTTCAAACGAAGGTTGGACATGTTTATGAGTGGGATTGGGTGGTTATAAACAGGAGCTGCCTCATATGGGCCAATAAGCCTTCTGCAGTTACCTTTGTTCTTATGTTCTTACTACTCTATCTCTTCGTCATTATCTGTTATCCGACTTGTCTCAGTTTTTAATGGACATATCCGTTCCCTAATTAATTCTTTTCCCCAATTCCCTAACTTTGATCCTGGGAATCAACAAGTAGGTTTTTTGAGTTCTACTTCCCAAGAAGCAACACCTTTAAACTCTAAAACCATGTTGGCAAAGGTTGTGAAATTCACTGTATAGTTTCATATGTACAGTATATAAGCATGCTTATATTTAATGAATTTTTAAAATTACAAATTATGTTCAGAGACATTAATCACCAATGGGAAGCCGAAACCAAAAATAAACATCTTACTAAACAATAATAAGATCATAGTATTGTATACTGTACTCAACTTTCCACAATGAACAATTTTGTATAGGTTCCGACACCTCTCGACTCATCCCAAACATGATCCAACTTGAACTTGAATTCCTTATCACTTACCTTATAAAATTTGGACTCTATGTGTAACTGTGGATGTTTTGTTTTGATGCATTCTAATTTGATGGCTACTTCCTCACCGGTCGATATGTTTGTTCCTGAAAAACATGAATGTTTAATTAAGACAGCATACAACGTGTCAACTCACTTTAAAACCCATAATCCTATGTCCTCAGACGAAATGTATCTGAGATTACCAAATATCTTTAATTTGTGATGTAATGTTCAGTGAAAGGGGAAGAAGACCTGGTATATACAGAGCTACTAAACTCAACCAATGAGGTGGTAGAGGTACTTGGAATTAAGGTAGAGAAACTAAACCTAATTATTATTCTAATATATAAACTGCCAGATACAACCGTTAAAGAATTCAGAGCAGATGCACAAGATAGAGAACATCCTTGATAACCTAGCAATCCCAGCTCCAGATATTATCTTCCTTGAAGATTTCAATTTACCAAGTCTAAGATGGAGAATGGTAACCACAATTATCACAGCTGGGAATGACCCGGGAAATAACCAACCACAGGTCAGAAAACTTTTGAGATTCTGTGACAAATTCTCACTCAATCAACAGATTACAGAACCAACTAGGAACGAAAACACACTAGACTTGTTATTCACAAACAATGATGAACTAATCAGAGATATTACAATCTCAGATACTACATACTTAGACCATAAGCTCATTGAAGTGCGAACTAGCATAAATAATGGTTGTAGATCTAAGAGACCCAACAAGCGAGGAGTATTCAATCAATTCAATTTCAACAATAAGAGGATCGACTGGGAAAAAAATAAATGTAGACCTTGCAACCATTCAATGGGAGACGGTCTTAAGCGACAAAACTCCCACACAGGGAATAGCTCAACTGACAGCTGAAGCTTACAAGGTCTGCTTGAAGCACGTGCCTGTGAGGAGGGTCAGAAGGAGGACCACTCTTAGAAAGAGAACGCAGACGACTGTACAGGAGTGGGAAAAAAATAACGGAAATGCTTCGGCAGACACAACTATCACAAGAAAGAAAAATAAACCTAAGCAGGGAGATCGAAGAAATTGAACAAACGTTGAAGAGATCATACGAGTGAGGAAATGGAATTAGAACAGAAAGCTATACACGAGATAAAGAAAAATCCAAAATATTTTTTCACATACGCAAAACCAAAATCAAAAACCTCTACCAGTATTGGACCGTTAATTACAAATGAAGGTACGTACACAGAGGACAACAAAGAGATTAGTGAAATTCTAAGAAGCCAGTATGAGGCTATGTTTAGCACACCAATAAACATGAAAGTTGCTGACCCAGAGAGCTCCTTTATGAATGACATTCAAGCTGCAGATAATATAACGGATATTAACACAAACTCTGAACACTTTGAAAGAGAAATTGACAATATGCCCACGCACTCAGCTGCTGGGCCTCACTCATGGATTCAATATTCATAAAGAAATGTAAAGTACCAATAGCGCGAGCACTCAGCGTAATATGGAGAAAGAGCTTAGAAACAGGGGGAGATACCAGCTGCACTTAAATCTGCAGATATAGTTCCTCTGCACAAGGGGGGTAGTAAAGCCTTGGCAAAAAAAAAAAAAAAATTATAGACCAGTTGCACTAACATCACACATAATAAGTGTTTGAAGGAGTAATTAGGAATCAAATTTCTGATTTTATGGAAAATAATGAGCTACACAATCCAGGACAACATGGATTTAGAGCGGGCAGATCCTGTAAGTCACAGTTACTCAACCACTAAGACAAAATCACAGAAGCTCTAGAAGAAAAGCAAAATGCAGATGTTGTATATACAGACTTTGCAAAGGCGTTCGACAAATGTGTCCATGGGGTGATAGCACACAAAATGAGGTCAATGGGAATAACTGGAAAAGTAGGACGCTGGATACTCAATTTCCTGTCGAACAGAACACAGAGTAACAGTCAATCAAATAAAATTGAGTCCAAGCGCAGTTAAAAGCTCTGTACCTCAAGGTACAGTCCTTGCACCGCTACTGTTCTTTATTCTCATATCAGAGATAGACAAAAATACACGTCACAGCTTCGTGTCGTCCTTTGCAGATGACACAAAAATCAGCATGAAAATTACCTCTGCTGAAGACATTGAAAAATTACAAGCAGATATCAACAAAGTTCTCGATTGGGCAGCAGAAAATAACATGATGTTTAACAGTGATAAATTTCAGGTACTCGGGTACGGCAAAAATGAGGATCTGAAACGTAATACAGGGTACAAAACACAATCGAATCTGCCCATAGTAGGAAAACAGCATGTCAAGAATTTGGGAATAATGATGTCCGACGATCTAACGTTTAGAGAGCATAACCAAGCAAATATTTTGTCATCCAGAAAAATTACAGGATGAATTACGAGAACTTTCAAAACCAGTGATCCCATCACAGTGGTTATACTCTTCAAGTCACTTGTGTTGTCCTGTCTCGAGTACTGCTCAGTACTCACTTCCCCCTTCAGAGCAGGAGAGATTAATGGAATAGAGGGAATACAGAGAACATATACGACACGCATAAACGAGATAAAACACCTAAATTATTGGGATCGTCTCAAAGCTCTCCAAATGTACTCTCTAGAAGGGAGACGAAAGATACTAAATAATACACATGGAAAATACTGGAGAGCCAAGTACCAAATCTACACAGTAAAATAACAACGTACTGTACTGGAGTGAACGATATGGAAGAAAATGCCGGATGGAACTAGTGAAGAGAAGAGGTGCCTTAGGGACAATCAGAGAACATCAGAGGTCCACGGTTGTTCAACATCCTCCCAGCAGGCATAAGAAATATTGCCGGAACAACTGTGAACATCTTCAAGATAGAACTCGATTGTTTCCTCCAAGGAGTGCCAGACCAACTGGGCTGTGGTGGACATGTGGGCCTGCGGGCCACTCCAAGCAACAGCCTGGTGGACCAAACTCTCAAAAGTCAAGCCTGGCTCGAGCCGGGCTTGGGGAAGTGCCATAGGGGACAATGGCATGCCATAGAGGTGCCATAGGCACAATCAGAACACTGTATAAACATCAGAGGTCCGCGGTTGTTCAAAGTCCTACCAGCGACTATAAGAAATGTTGCCGGAATAACCGTGGACATCTTCAAGAGAAAACTGGACTGTTTTCTAAGAGAAGTTCCGGATTAGCTGGGCCGCTCCAAGCAACAGCCTGGTGGACCAAACTCTCACAAGTCTGGCCTTGGGCCGGGCTTGGGGAGTAGAACAACTCCCAGAACCCCATCAAGCAGGTATCACATATATATATTATTTTTGTTTTGGGTAAAAAGGATGGATCCTGGGGGATGGACCTTATATATAATGGTGACTTAATCCGGCCTAAGAAAGGGAGGGAAAAGAGAGGAGACATGGGAAGGGACGGGATGGGTAAGGGAGGGATGGGTTATGCAGGGAGGGTGAGGGTCTCTGGGGGCGGGAGCGGCGGGTTATTGGGAGGTATTGTTCTTGTTCTCTCTCCTCGTAGCGTATATTTCCTGAGGCGTCTATGATGTAAGCTACTTACTTTCCTCGGCTCAGTTGCTCATCAGGTTTTTTTTTACTTTTTTCCAGAACTTTCCTGGGTTTCTGTCGTCTATTTCAGCCCATAATTTTGGTGTACTCTGTTTCGCATAGATCTTGCAGCTCATCTTGTAGTTCCCTTTGTAGTCTTTTGCGCTCGTCAGTCCACCCATTGTGCGTTGTAAGTTGTAGAAGATTGTTATATCTGGTTAGCAGTGTTCCGAGCGCCTAGGTGGCTGGGGGGTAATAATAATTTACACGTGGAAAATAGTAGAGGGGCTGGTCCCAAACCTGCACATAGAAATAACATCACATGAGACCAGCAGGCATGGCAGGATGTGCAGAATACCCCCCCCCCCCTGGAATTTATCACTGTTAAACATCATATTATTTTCTGATGCCCAGTCGAAAACTTTATTAATATCAGCTTGAAGTTTTTCAATGTCTTCAGCCGAGGTAATTTTCATACTGATTTTTGTGTCGTCTGCAAAGGATGATACGAAGCTGTGACTTGTATTTTTGTCTATATCTGATATGAGAATTAGGAAAAGCAGCGGTGCAAGGACTGTACCCTGAGGTACAGAGCTTTTAACTGCACTTGGACTAGATTTTATATGGTTGACCGTTACTCGCCGAGTCCTGTTTGACAGAAAACCGAGTATCCAGAGTCCTACTTTACCGGTTATTCCCATTGACTTCATTTTGTGTGCTATCATGCCATGGTCACATTTATCGAAAGCCTTTGCGAAGTCCGTGTATATCACATCAGCATTCTGTTTTTCTTCTAATGCCTCAGTGACTTTGTCGTAGTGCTCAAGTAGCTGTGAGAGGCACGATCTTCCCGCTCGAAATCCATGTTGGCCTGGGTTGTGAAGGTCATTGGTCTCCATGAAATTGGTGACCCGACTCCTAATCACACTCTCAAATACTTTTATGATGTGCGATGTTAGTGCAACTGGTCTATAATTTTTTGCCAATGCTTTGCTCCCTCCCTTGTGTAGAGGGGCTATGTCTGCTACTTTAAGTGCATCTGGTATCTTCCCCGTGTCCAAGCTCTTCCTCCACACTATACTGAGTGCTTGTGCTACCGGCACTTTGCATTTCTTTATAAATATTGAATTCCATGAGTCTGGACCTGGGGCCGAGTGCATGGGCATGTTTTCAATTTCTCTTTCAAAATTTAGTGACCGGTCTCTGACCAGGCTTCCTAGTTGGTGGTTTGATCAAACAAGCTGTTGGGCGCGGGTGCCTGCAGTCTGACGTATGAATCAAAGCCTGGTCAACCAGGTATTCTTTGGAGGTGATTATAGTTCTCTGTTGAACACCAAGAGAGGGGAGCCGGTCGGCAGAGCGGACAACACGCTGGACTTGTGATCCTGTGGTCCCGGGTTCGATCCCGGGCGCCGGCAAGAAACAATGGGCAGAGTTTCTTTCACCCTATGCCCCTGTTACCTAGCAGTAAAATAGGTACCTGGGTGTTAGTCAGCTGTCACGGGCTGCTTCCTGGGGGTGGAGGCCTGGTCGAGGACCGGGCCGCGGGGACACTAAAGCCCCGAAA